GACTGTTTCGATGCACCCTGCCGTACGAGGATGCCGAGTGTTAAGGGTTGGACTGCCTAATCCAATGCTGCTCTGCACGCGTGGTTTCGAATCCCATCCTCGTCGAAGGTTTTGTGAAAAGGGCATGTGTGTGATGTAGTTCTGACTGGTTCGATGATCACCTGGTCAGTGACGAGGTGGCCGAGTGGTTAAGGCGTTGGACTGCTAATCAATGTTGCTCTGCACGCGTGGGTTTCCGAATCCAGTCCCGTCGAAGTGGTTTTGCGAACAAGTGCAATGTGTGCATGTAGATTTCTGTGATTCGATGATCACCTCCGTACGAGGTGGCCGAGTGGTTAAGCGTTGGACTGCTAATCAATGTCGCTCTGGCAAGCGCGTGGGTTCGAATCCCCATTCCTCGTCGAAGTGTTTTGTGAAAATGGCATTGTGCATCGTAGATCTGGTGGTTCGATGATCACTCTGGTGGTACTGATGGTGGCCGAGTGGTTAAGGCGTTGGACTGTAATCCAATGTGCCTCTGCACGCGTGGGGTTCGAATCCATCTCGTCGAAGTTTTTGTGAAAAGGGCATGTGTGTGCATGTAGCATTCTGCTGTTCGATGATCACACGTGACGAGTGGCCGAGAGGTTAAGGCGTTGACTGCTAATCCAATGTGCTCTGCAGTCGCGTGGGTTTCCGAATCCCATCCTCGTCGAAGTGTTTTGTGAACAAGGTGCATTGGTGCCATGTAGATTCCTGCTGATTCGGATGATCAACCCCGCTGACGAGGTGGCCGAGTGGACGTAAGGCGTTGGACTGCTAATCCAATGTGCTCTGCACGCGTGGGTTCGAATCCATCCATCGTCGAAGTGTTTTGTGAAGAAGGTGCATTGTGTTGCATGTAGATTCTGTGGTTCGATGCACCCGCCGACGAGGATGGCCGAGTGGTTAGCGTTGGACTGCTAATCCAATGTGCTCTTGCACGCGGTGGGTTCGAATTCCCCATCTCGTCGAAGTGTTTTGCGAACCAGTTGCACGTTGTGTGATGTAGATTCTGCTGTTCAATGTCACTCCACGAAGGTGGCCGAGGGTTAAGGCGTTGGACTGCTACATAGCAATGTGCTCTGCACGCGTGGGTTCTGAATCCCATCCGTCGTCGAAGTGCTTTGTGAAGAATGCATGTGTGCTGTGATATCTGCGAGCTGTTTCGATGTCACCCCACTACGAGGTGGACCGAAGTGGTTAAGGCGTTTGTGAGACTGCATCCCAATGTGTGCTGCACGCGTGGGTTCGAAATCCATCCTCGTCCGTAAGTCTGTTTTGGGAAGACCAGGGCATTTGTGCATGTAGATCTCGACTGGTTCCGATGACACCCCCTGACCGAGACTGGCGCGAGTGGTTTAACGGCGTTTGAGACTGCTAATCCAATGTGCTCTTGCAGCGCGTGGGAGTTCGAATGCCCATCCTCGTCGCCAAGTGTTTTGTGACCCAATGGTCATGTAGATTCGTGCTGGTTTCGATGCACCCTCCGACGAGGTGGCGAAGTGGTTAAGGCGTTGGACTGCTTAATTCCAAGTGTGCTCTGCACGCGTGGCGTCGAGATCGCCCATGCCGCGTCGAAGTGGTTTTGTGAACAAGCATTGTTGCATGTAGTAAGATCTGACTGTTCGATGTTCTCTGCTGACGAGTGTGGCCGAGTGGTTAAGGCGTTGACTGCTAATGCCAATGTGCTTCTGCGACGCGTGGGTCGAAATCCCATCCTCGTGCGAAGTGTTTTGCGAACAAGGGCAAATTGTGTGCATGTAAGATTCCTACTGTTCGAGTGCATACCTGCGAGCGAGGTGCCGAGTGGTTAAGGCCGTTGGGACCTGCTAATCGCACATGTGCTCTGCACGCGTGGGTTTGAATCCATTCCTCGTCGAAGTGTTTTGCTGAACAAGGTGCATTGGTGTGCATGTAGATTCGATGGCATGATCGATGACCTACTCGGTGACGAGGTGGCCGAGTGGTATAAGCGCGTTGGACTGCTAATCAATGAGTTCTGCGACGGCGTGGGTTCACAATCCCATCCTCGGTCCGGAAGTTGTTTTGTGAACAGGGCACATGTGTGCATGGTGATTCTGACTGTGGTTCGAATCTGTGCACCCGCTAAGAGTGGCCGAGTGGTTTAAGGCGTTGACTGCTAATCCAATGTGCCTCTGCACAGGTGGGTTTCGAATCCCATTCCCATCGTCGAAGTGTTCTTGTGAAGAAGGGCATGTGTGCATGAAGATTCTGAATGGTTCGATGACACCCGCTGCGACGAGGTGGCCCGAGGTGTTAAGGCGTTGGACTGCTAATCCAATGTGCTCTTCACGCGTGGTTCGAATCCCCTCCTCGTCGAAGTGTTTGTGAACAGGGCATGTGTGCTGTAGATTCTGATGGTTTCGATGATCCTCTGGTGACGAGGTGGCCGAGTGGTTAAGCGTGGACTGCCTAATCCAATGTGCTCTGCACGCGTGGTTCGAATCCCATCCTCGTCGAAGTGTTTTTGCGAACAAGGGCCTGCTGTGCATGTAAGCCTCTGATGTTCGGATGACACCCTGCCGACGAGGTGGCCGAGTGGTTAAGGGCGTTGGACCTGCTTAATCAATGTTGGCTCTGGACGCGTGGGTTCGAACCATCCGTCTCGAAGTTTTTGTGAAGAAAGGGCATGTGTGCAATGTAGATTCTGATGGTTCGCATATCCTCTGGTGACGAGGTGGCCCGAGTGGGTTAGCGCGTTGGACTGCTAGTCCAATCTGTGCTCGGCACGCGTGGGTTCGAATCCCATCCTCGTCGAAGTGTTTTGGTGAAGAAGGGGCATCGTGTGCATTTAGATTCTGATGGTTCGATGAATCCTCTGGGACGAGGGGTGCCGAGTGGTTTAAGGCGTGACTGCTATCCAATGTGCTCTGACCACGCGTGGGTTCGAATCTCTCTCCTCGGGAAGTGTTTTGTGAAGCAGGGCATGTGTGCATGTAGATTCTGATGGTTCGATGATCCTCTGGTGACCGAGGTGGCCGAGTGGTTAAGGCGTTGAACCTGCTAATCCAATTTGTGCTCTGCACATCGTGGGTTGAATCCCACCTCGTCGAAGTGTTTTGTGAACAAAGGCATGTAGATCTCGGAGGTTCGATGACACCCCTGCCGACGAGGTGGCCGAGTGGCTTAAGGCGTTGGACTGCTAATTGCCAATGTGTCCTGCAACGCGTGGGTTCGAATCCCATCCTCGTCGAAGTGTTTTGTGAACAAGGGAGTGGTGCATGTAGATTTCTGAATGGTTCGATGAATCCTCGGTGACGAGCGTGGCCGAGTGGTTAAGGCGTTGGACTGCTAATCCAATGTGCTTGCACCGCGTGGGTTCGAATCCCGATCCTCGTCGAAGTGTTTTGCGAGAACAAGGCATGTGTGGCATGTAAGATTCTGATGGTTCGATTGACACTCTGCCGACGAGGTGGCCCGAGTGGGTTAAGGCGTTGACCTGTAATCCAAGTGCTCTGCACGCGTGGTTCGAAATCCCATCCTCGTCGAAGTGTTTTTTGGAAGAAGGGCATGTGTGCATGTAGATTCTGATGGTTCGATGATTCTCTGGTGACGAGGTTGGCGAGTGGTTAAGGCGTTGGACTGCTAATCTCATGTGCTCTGCAAACGCGTGGTTCGAATCCATCTTCGTCGAATTGTTTTTTTTGTGAAGAAGGGCAATGTGTGCAAATGTAGATTCTGATGGTTGCGATGATCCTCTGATGACGAGGTGGCCGAGTGTTAAGGCGTTGAATGCTAATCAATGTGGCTCTGCACGCCGTGGGTTCGAATCCATTCCTCGTCGAGTGTTTTGTGACAACAGGGCATGTGTGCATGTAGATTCTGATGGTTCGATGATCCTCTGGTGACGAGGTGGCCGAGCTGGTTAAGGCGTTGACTGCTAATCCAATGTGCTTGCACGCGTGCGTTCGAATCCCATCCTCGTCCGAGTGTTTTGTGGAACAAAGTATGTTTTGGGTTGTGACGCCGTTTTTTCAATCGTGGACTGAGCTTCCGCCGGTGTTTTTTGTTTTTTTGAAAATTTAAATGCATTGTGAATCTTTAAAGTAATTTTAATACAATTAAAAAGTTTGTATATATTCTTGGAAATACGTATCTAAAGTTTATGGCATGTACAATCTATTTAAATTAGAAATCAAACAGGGGAAATTAACTGTATGTTCATGAAATATATATTGAAGATGGTTATATGTTTATCCGCCGTTCCTGCACAACATCAAGTCAGTATAGAAAGTTATTCGCATCAATTTACTAATAAGAAAACTTCAATTCAAGAGATATTAGCAACTTACATACAAAGGCACGTTTTATTTGAATATATTAAAATTGACAATGAATTGTATCAAAATAAAATACGAATACTACCCGTAATTTGTGTGTGATCTGTCCACTAAAATTAAATTTTATAATTTCATCGGTATTGAAGCATTACCTGCCATGGAAATTATGAAAATAGACGTATTATACACGGTGGCAGATACTAACATAACAAACTTTATATGTATGTATGTAATAATATATATATATATATATATATATATATATACTATATATTTGCATTAATTGTACTGGTTGTAATTTGAGAAAGAACCTCGATAAACAGTAAAACAATTAAAACTTTTTTAACGGAATAACGATTCGAATTTCTACCACTTGACCGACCCCATTCCTGTTTCTTCATGTTCTTAATGTTGTAGCAATTATCGTCATACATATTTTGAAGAGAATATTTGTTTTTTAGATAAATATTTCGAAAAAAAATGTTAACTTTATTAGTTCTTTTCTTCAGACGAAAAGAATCGTTCGGACAAATCAATTTAAGTAATTTGGTGCGTAGTCTATAAAGCAATTT